AGTAAGAATAGCAAAATTTAACAGAACAGTGAACAACAAATGCTGGTGAGGTTGTGGAGAAACTGGAACCCTTATTCACTGTTGGTGGGAGTGTAAAATGGTGCAACCACTATGGAAGGCAAAAAATTGGAAATAGAAATACCATGTGACCCAGCAATTTTACTACTGGAAATATACCCTAGAAAAACCAGAACTGCCACCCAAGCAGATATATGCTCACCCCTGTTTACTGCTGTGTTGTTCACAATAACAGAGTTGGAAACAACCCAAGTGCCCATCAACAAACAAATGGCTAGAGAAGCTCTGGTGTATTCACACAATGGAATACTGTGCTGCATTGAAAAACAAGGAACTCATGAAATCTTATACAAAATTGGTGACCCTGGAGGACATTATGGTCAGTGAAATATCTCAATCACAACAGGGCAAATACTGCATAGTACCACTGTTATAAAGCAGGGCTGACATCCGGGTTGGGGGAAACTAAGAAAAGAGGGGATAAATAATGTATACTGTATTGAAACAGGTGAAGGAGAGAACTGTTTAGGAGGAATATATGATTAGGTATTATTGTTATGACAAGAGTCCAGAATGAAAGCTGCGTAGTGGAGTGGACTAGGGTAGGGAGATTGTATAACAGTGAAAAATTTGGTTTGGTTTTTTTTTTTTTACTTTTCAAAGAGGAAAATGAACTGGCGGGTGGGGGGAGGTGTGGGCAGGGAGGAAAGTGTGTAACAATGAATGAATGGAAATCCAAAGTCTCTGTAAACGTTCATTAAAATAAATTTAAAAAAAAGAATGGAATACTTAAAATACTTGGGTGTCGTCTAATCGATTCCAACTTCCAATTCATAGTGACCCCTCTAACAGAGAAGGATCACCCCAGAGTGTATGCTGATTATATATAACGTGTATAAAAGCAGGTATTTAAGCCTTGCTCCCTTAGAGCTGCTGGGTGGGTTAGAATCAACAAATTTTTATAAAATTTGAACTTAGCAGCCAAGTTCTTAATTGTTTGCACTGTCAAGATCCTTTGGCTATGGGTAGTTCCCGATTTAGGAAGCTCTGGTGGCTTAGAGGTAAGGGATTGTGCTGCCAACTCAAAGGTGGGAGATGTGACTTCACAAGCTGCTCTGTGGGAGAACGACGGGCATTCTCCCCCCATGTGAGTGACAGACAACCTCTGAAAGCTCACGAGATGGTGGGCTGGGCGCCGGGTCTGACTTGATGGCACATGACAACAAAAATCCCTGACTTGATTCTGACTTAAGTCAAACCTCTGAAGTTTTCATTAACACTGCCTTTTATTATCAGTCTCCTTATAAATCCAATCTTTATTTGTCTTTGGAACTTGGCATGAGAGTGAAAACCTCAGCAAATTTGCACCACACCAGTGTCTGTGCTACATAATACTTGTGGTAAGATGAGCCTAAAAAACCAAAACAGATGGTTCTAAGTTCATGTTCATTACAACCTAAGCATGTCATCAGTTAGAGATGAATTCTACTAATACATATCACCTACTTCAGGCGAGTTCATGAGGAAAGCATTTCACACAGCTAACACAGGACACCAGCACCAAACCCAACCCTTTGCTTGCAAGTTGATTCCAACTCCTGGTAACCCCATGTCTTCCAAAGTTACAATCTTTAAAGAAGCAGATTACTAGGTCTTTGTTCTGCAGAGCTAGTGGGTGGGTTCAAACCACCAAACTTTAGATTAGTGGTTAATTGTCAACCACTAAATTTACCCAGGCACAGAGGGGAAAACAAAAACAAAATCCACTGCTGGTAAGCTGATTTGGACTCACAGTAGCCCACGGGGACAGAGGGCAATTGCTCCATAGGATTTTAAGGCTGTGATATTTATGGAAGCCAACTGCCACATCTTTCTCCCTCAGAGCACCTGGTGGGCTCAAATCAGGACTTCTTCACATTTAGAAAAAAACTCTCAAACCAAATTCGCTGTTATTGACCTGGTTCCGACACACAGTGACCTTAATCAGGCTTCCAAAGTCGTAAATCTTTAGGGAAAGACACAGCCTTTCTTTCTCCCTCAGAGTGGCTGGTAGATTTGAACTGCTGTCCTTTTGATTAGCAGGCTGATATCTTACACACAATACCACCCGGGCTCCATAAATGTACTTTTTACTCTTGCGGTTATCATAATTTCCATGTCTCCCTTCCTTACCGATGACGGAGCCCATAAAGGGATACCAAGGAGCTGTCCACAGGGTCCAAGCTTAAAGTGAGAGCTTAAAGTGCCTTCAAGTGAGAAAACCGAGGCCCAGATATGGAGAGTACCATATTCAGGGCCATCCTTGGAGTGTGGGTAGAACTCAGGTCTTCACATACTGCTCTGCTGCGGATGCTATTCTTGCCTGGACTCCATTCTCAACAAGCCTCCTCCAAGCACTCACTGTGTGTCCTCAGAACCTTGGACTCCTCAGCATCTCTAAATCAAATGAGAAAATAGCTGTAACATCTCTGGGCTGTCTACAGATCATTGCCCTATTCAGATCCTTGGGATCAGTTTAGGGGTAGCAGTTTCAAGGTGTTACAGATGCAGCTTTAAAGCACTAGGTGGGCAATCCCACCCCCATCTCCACCTCACACAGTAATGCCTGGGGATACTGAGGCACAGTACACTGTGCAGGAGCCCAGTATGATTTCACAAGACAAGCCAGTGTTCACTTTGGCAGCACATATACTTAAATTGGAACGATACAGAGATTAGCATGGTCACTGCGCAAGGATGACACACAAATCTGAGAAGCGTTTAAAAAAAAATAAAATAAAGACAAGCCCAAGTTGCAATTTCTGTGTGAGCAGAACTCACTTGTTAAACCTAAGAAAATAACTGGAAAGAGACAAAGCAGAGTGTGCTGAGAGCTGTGGCCTTGCAGCCCAGAGAGGGAAACCCAAGTCTAATAGGGCTCAAACCCAGCTATCTGTTCCCCACCTCTCATCGCTGTAATGAGAGGAGGTGGAATTTTGAGGGTCTGAAGGGAGTGTGGGTAACTGTACAACTTTGAGAACGTAATAACGAGGACCAGCAATAATACAACTTCTATACACTTCTATACACTTGACCCTGCTTCTCTGCCCATTGCTGCTGTTATGTGCTGTAGAGTTGCAAACGACTCGTAGCCAACCCTCTAGAGGACTGCTAGATACTATACATTTCACAGGAGGAGATTGCCCATCTTCGCCCCAACCCCAGCTTGCAGACTTGAACTTCGAGTTACCAAGTGGAACTACTTAACACGAGGTCACCAGTACTCTATCTAGTCTGCTCATTGTTGTTGTTATGTGCTATTGAATCCCTTGTGACACAAAGTGACCCTATGCACAACAGCTCTGAAACCTGCTCTATCTTCAGCCAACCTCATTGTCTCTGGCACACCTACCCCCATTACACCAGTCACTGTGTCAATCCATCTCATCCAGAATCTTCTCTTGCACTGTCCCTCCACCCTTCCAAGCATGATGCCCAAAGTATGTAAGATGAAGCTTCAAAATCATTGCCTTCAAGGAGCAGCCTTGTTTCACTCTCTCCAGGATAAAACTGTTTGTTTTCTTAGCAGTCCATGGTGTATTTAATACTCTTCTCCAGCCCTATAGTTCAATGGCATTTATTCTTCTTCTATCATCTTTAGTCATTGTTCAGCTCTCTCATGCATAGCAAGTAATTGCAAAGACCATGGCCTGGATCAGGCTCACCTTAGTTTTTAGACTGACATCATTACTCTTTAATACTCTGGAAAACTCCCCGACAGCAAATTTTCCCAATTCATCTTTTGATTTTCTTGCTGCTGGTACCAAGAGTGTTGATTGTGAAGCCAAGCAGGCTGAAGCTGTTAACAATCTCATTCTCTTCTCTGACTATCATGATGATGATTCTGCCCATTACTGAGTGTTTAACCATAAGATACACCAGTTAACCTTTAAATGTGCCTGTGAACAGTTTTTCTGAGCCTAACAACTCTGGCAAGGGCAGGCCTCGAAGAGGCATTCAACCGGGACTTCAACCCAGCATGGTCATGGACATTAAGACTGTGATGTGAGTTTTGGGACAGAAACCCTTCTTCCTAACTAACTTTCCAGAATTTTAAGAAGTCAGGGCTTGGCTGGGGACTGAGTGTGTAGTGGCTCAAATACAATAACGAGGGCCCCAGAACAGTGGCTCCAAGCTGTCATTCCTTCCTTTCACATCCTGCTTCAACCTGCGCTAACAGAGATCTTGATCCAGGATCGTAATTTATTCCCATTTTACAAAATAAATAAAAGTTCAGAAGGTAGAAAATGGCAGGAGCGAGTAGGCATCCTAGGCCAGGGACTCCCAAGGATAGTGAATAAGTAACCTTCAGGGCCGCCGGCGGATGGAGGGGAGCAAGAGAGGGTGGTCGTCATTGCAGTCAACGTGCCCGCCGGGCAGTGCTGTGGCCGGAGGCCTGCTGGAGGTGGGGGAGAACATAGAACTAGGCCAAGCCGCAGTCAGGCATTGTCGATCCGAGCTCCACTGAGCTGGGGGCACTTGGGGCTCAGTCACCCTCCACCTCAACCCTAGACAGCTGGGCAGCGCCTACGCCTGGGCGCGCAACGGGCGGAGCTCGGACGGCGCCCAGCGGCCGCGGGCGGAATCGCAGGGCAGGGTCAGGACAGGAGGAGACGGGTCCCCCTCGGGTCTGGTTTGAGTGCGCAGCCTCCGCGTTTCTTCCACTTTAGCAGTCCACCGAGGGCTGTCCCGGGGTTGCGCTCCAAGCACGTCTCGGTTCTCCGTTCCACAGGGGGCGCTGTCGGCGCCTAACTCCTTGCCTAGCCGGAAGCGTGAAGATCACTTCCGGCTCGGTGTAGGGAACTAGGCTGTGGCTCAGACTCGGTGTGGGTTGTGGGGGAGTAGCTTAGGCCGAGCGAAGCCAGCGCCCGCTGGAACACGGTCCGTTGGGGTCTCCGCCTCCCCAGCATCCGCGGCTCCTGCAGCGCCTGGGGGCCGCTGTGATGCCGTTCCTGCACGGCTTCCGGAGAATCACCTTCGAGTACCAGCCGCTGGTGGACGCGATTCTGGGCTCCCTGACAGCCCAGAACCCCGAGCGGCAGGAACCCCTGAACGGGTAACTCCCTTCGTTCTTGCAAGCGAGCCGGGACCGTTGGGAATGCGCTGCTTTTCTCAGTAATTGCCGTTACTAGTTTGGTGGAGCCGGAAGATGGTAATTGGGTACCTTCCCGCGCGAGCCCCTTGGCCTTGACCCATGTCCTGCTGCTTGAGGGTGGTGCCTACTCCCACCCGGCGCTGGTGAAGGCTAGAGGAGGGCCGAAGGGTGAGGAAGGCTTCAGCCCTCGCTGTGCCCTCCGCTCCGAGTGCAGGCTCCGCAGGAGCCTCCACACCCAGCAACGATACGTATATGACATTTTTGCAGCTGACTTTGCATTTTATATACACAAGAGCAGAGCTGCATGTTCTTTTAGGAGAAAGGCATTAGGACTTGGGTCTTTGGGGCAGTCTATAAACGCTGCGCATTGTACTATTAAGAGCTAGGGGTACATCAGTAAACTAAACAAAACCTACTCCCTTAAGGTGCTTACTTTTCAAAAAAAGAGAGACTGGCGACAATCCTAAGTAAATTTCGTAGTGTGTCAGATGTATTGGAGTTGACAGCAGAGGAAACGGGATGATCGCAGGCGCGTTTGTTTGTGTGTGTGTGTGTATGTGTGTATGTATGTGTATTCGGGCGGGGATCATTTGCAATTTTAACCACAATGGTTCTGATGAGTCACTCCAGGGCCTTTGATGGAAATGCAGGCTTTGTTATTATCACTGTGTCAGCTCTGTAGAGGCTTGCTGTGAAAACGCGGTGCAAGGTATTTCCTTGACTGTCAGCTATCTGGGTGAACTAGAGCAGCAAGGGAGCTGGATGGTCTTTTCGGTATCCCCAGAGATCTTGCAGAAACTGTTCCCAGAATGTGAGTTGTGTATCTACAGGGTTCTAGGCACTCTCCAGGGCTGGCATGAGTGCATGGGGTGAGATGGAATATCTTCCAGACTTATAGCTGACCCCCCAGCAGGTTTTGCACAGTAGGAGATTATCCATCTTTCTGCTGCTAAGCCATCGGTGAATCTGAACCACCAGAGAGGTACAGCCTTTCGATTAGCATCACAGCTTCCTACAGATTGCCTGCTTCAAGCTTTGAACCAATGAATTGAAGGGATGTCGACAGGAACATGTAAGGGTTGCATCTTTTCTTCATACCTATATAATCTGTATACTGAGCAAATGATATGAGTAGCTGACCTATGTGAAGAAGAAGGTGACCTAAGGATTGGAGGTAGACCTCATCAACAGGCACGCTATGCAGGTGACACAACTTTGCTTGCAGAAAGTAAAGGTAACTTGAAGTATTTGCTGTAGAATAGAAAAGACTACAGCCTTCATTATGGGTCATATCTCAGCATCAAGAAAAAACCTCCTCACCACTGGACCAATAGGCAATCGTGATAGATGGAGAAAAGATAAAAGGCAACAGTTTCACTTTACTCATCTTGACAATTGACACCCATATTAGCAGCAGCCAAAAAATCCAAAGACATGTTGCATTGGGAAAATCTACTGCAAGGACCTCACCAGAGTGCTACAGAGCAACAATGTCAGTTTAAAGACTAAGATGCATCTGATCCAAGCTGTGGTATTTTCAGTTGCCTCCTATGCATCTGAAAGCTAGACAGTGAATAGGATGATAGGAGAATTGATCCCTTTGAATTGTGTTGGTGCAGAGTATGGAAAATACCATGAATTGCCAAAAGATCAAGCAAATCTGTCTTGAAGAAACTGCAACCAGAGTGCTTCTTAAGAGGCAAGGATGGAGAAACTTCACCTCACATACTCAGGACCTATTTTCCTTGGAGAGACACATTATTATGCTGGGAAAGGTAGAAGGTTAGCAAAAGAAAGGAAGACTGTCAGTGAGATGAATTGACAGAATGACTACCGCAGGATTGAGCAGGGACAGAGATCATGAAGATGGTGCTGGATGGGGCAGGGTTCAGGCCTGTTGTTCATAGACTTAATAGCAACAGATAGGTGAGGCCAGAAGGGACAAGGAGAACGCTGATGGAGAAGGCCAGCATCACCATGAGGAAGTGGCAGCAGATTGGATGAGCCTGGTACGTCAGAGCTGTGTGCAACAGCAGAGCCTCAGCAGTTCCTGCTAGCTAGCGTTGGTCAGGAAGGTGGGGGGGGGGGAGCGGTGCTTGCAGGTGGTGAGGTGATAGAGATAGTGGGTTGCTGCTGCGACGTGAAGGACTGTGTGCGTACAACCTTCAGAAGACAGAGGCCAGTGTTTCTTTGTGAGAGAAGGAAGGACTGCTGCTCCCTTTGCCACAGGAGCTGCTCTGGCTGGTCTCATGCCTTCTGCTGCCCAGAAGAGTCACAGCCTTTGAGTGAGTAGAGCTTTTTGAGGAGGGACTATCAGGATCTGGTTCTGCCTTCTGACATCATGGCCTCCCTTCAGCCCTAATGAACCCATATGGGAATGTTTGTACCCAGACCAGGAATCAAATTCTCTGAACAAGCTTAGGACCATTTTGGAAGATTAGAGAGCGATTCAGTCCTTTATCAACAAGCGCAAGGACTCTACTCCAATTTGAAAGGTCCACTGTGGCCCTCTCTTGACCGTCAACCTAAAGAATGAGACTTTCTGCCCTACAGAGCCTGGGTCCCCACTTTTTGTGGGTGATGACAGCATGAGGGTAAATGGCCACTGGCCAGGTGATGGGACTCTCTGCCACAGAGCACCTGTGCCAGCTGGTTCTATGACTGTTTTCCCTTACACCTGCTCTGCTTCTCCTGCCTCAGGCCCAGTCATGTTGCCAGCGAGGAGAGCAAAATCCTTGTTCTCACTGAGCTGCTGGAAAAGCAGGCACACTCCCCATTTTACCAAGAAGGTGTGAGCAATGCCCTGCTGAAGATGGCTGAGCTGGGACTGGCATGGGCAGCGGATGTTCTTCTACAGAATGGGGCCAACCTCAACTTTGAAGGTCAGCTGGTACCTAGAGGGGCTGGGAGTGGGCATTGACAGGGTACGGCCCTGCCCTGGGTGAGTGCCCATGCTATAGGACCTGCTTTTACTCTTCTCAGGAGCTACCTCTCATTTTTTTTCATTAAGGAAGGTCAATTGAGTGGCCTTACGCCTTGCCAGCTGTCAAATGGGTCTTATCACATCTGTCCCCAAAGCAATTTTGTTGTTCTTTCTACCGCATGATTGATTTAGCAGATTTCCCCTAACTCCCAGGTAAATCCGTTTCCATTAATGTAAGAGTGTGGCTGCTGGCACTGTGCCCAGAGCTAAGGAAAGGTCATTTTCTGCTACTTTGAGCTCTCTTGCATTTTTTCCAAGCTGTAGTGAGAGGAGAAAACCGAGATGCCACATTGGGCATGATCCCAGCAGGATTGTATTTGTGTGTAGCTTTTAAGTGTGGCAGTAACTGTGGAACCTCCCTCTTCTGCTTTCACCCAGAACAGGGCTGGTCCAGAGACAGGGGTCTCTGTGCTGCCCTGGTGCATCGGGTAGACCTTGCTTGGGCTCCAAGAGGGTCACAGAGCTAAGGAAGGCGGCCTCCTTCAAAATCACACCTTTGATAATTGGCCATTACTACAAGGTTTAAGGAACTGAGTGGCCAAAGGACTCCCATTTCATGCCCCCCCCCCGCCCCCTAGCAAGGTTGTTCTAGTGAGAAGAGCCCTTTTTATGTCTTTATTTTATAGAAGAGGAAACTTAAGTTCAAACAGGTTAAGTCACATGCCTACTAGAATTTCCCAGAACCTGAAGTGACCCTAGTGTCTAGTGAGGACAACTCTGTCCTGACCCATCCTGTGGACAGGAGCTTGGGCCTATGGCTTTTGGGTGTAGTGCTGGGGATAGCCTCAAGGCTCAGTCCAGGAACCCTTCAGAGCTCTCCTGTCCATGAGCTGTGTCTGCATCCTCAGATCCTGTCACTTACTACACTGCCCTGCACATTGCCGTCCTGAAAAACCAGCCTGACATGGTAGAGCTGTTGGTGCGCCACGGGGCAGACATTAACCGAAGGGATCGGGTAAGCAGCCAGATTGCGCCTGCCGTGTGTGGGGAGGGCCTGTCTCAAGCAGTGTCAGGTCCCCAGACCAACCTGGGTTGTGCTCTCGGCTCAGGTTCACGAGAGCAGTCCCCTGGACCTGGCCAGTGAAGAGCCAGAGCGCCTGCCCTGCCTGCAGCGCCTCCTGGAGCTCGGAGCAGACGTCAATGCTGCAGACAAGCACGGTGGGTTCCTGTGAGAAGCTGGGCAGCCCAGGGTGGGCAGGCTGGATGCTGGCGGGCCTGTCCAGCATGGTGGGATTTGCCAACTTTCCCGAGTTCCAGAGTTGGGAGTTTTAGAAGAACAGTGTCCACGCTGGCCCCTCAAATCTCAGTAGGTGGAGAGGTGGTGTGTTGTGCATTCACCCAACCTTGTGAAGAAAAGGGAGACCCAGCCCAGGTCTCAGATCGTCATCTCGTGGCCCTTCTACTTCATTTTGTGCAGGTGGAAAGAAAATGGTCTGAATCCATCACGTTCAGGTTGGCTGAGAGGTCAAGCCTCTTCAGTTCCTTTTCTGGTCTTCTAGGTACCCATGTTTCAGCCTCCACCTTGAGGTGGTCACAGCCCAGCTTCTGGCTTCCCACTCGTCCTTATTCTCCTTCCCTCCCCCCCCCAGGAAAGACTGCCTTGCTCCATGCTCTGGCCAGCAGTGATGGGGTGCAGATCCACAACACTGAGAACATCCGGCTCCTGCTCGAAGGAGGTGAGGCTTGACCCTCCAGAGGGATCCCCAGCCTTGGCCTTTTGCACAGCACCTACCTAGTTCATTTGGAGGTGTTTAAGGCTTTCCCACCTTCTTGTTTCCTAATGGTTCTAGGAGCAGATGTCAAGGCAACCACCAAAGACGGGGACACTGTATTCACCTACATCATCTTCCTGCTTGGTGAAACAGTGGGAGGTGACAAAGAAGAAGCGGAGTCAATCAATCGCTTCTGCTTCCAAGTGACACAGTTGCTGCTGGCCCACGGGGCAGACCCCAGCGAGTGCCCTGCTCATGAATCCCTCACCCATATCTGCCTCAAGAGCTTTAAACTCCACTTCCCCCTCCTGCGCTTCCTGCTGGAGTCCGGAGCTGCTTACAACTGCTCCCTCCATGGGGCGTCCTGCTGGTCTGGCTTCCATATCATCTTTGAGAGGCTCTGTTCCCACGCAGGCTACCCCAAAGACGACAGCCACGTTTCTGAAGATGAGGGCCACCTCACTGAAGATGAGAGTCACATGGACCTCCTGCACAAAGCTGAGGCTGTCCTAGATCTCATGGTGACTAACTCCCAGAAACTCCAGCTGCCTGAAAACTTTGATATTCACCCTGTGGGCAGCCTGGCAGGAAAGATCCAGGCCCTGCATTGTTCCTTGCGGCAGCTGGAGAGCTACCCTCCACCCCTCAAACACCTGTGTCGTGTTTACATCCGGCTCTACCTTCAGCCGTGGCCTGTGGATGTGAAGGTCAAAGCCCTGCCTCTGCCTGACAGGCTCAAGTGGTATCTCCTTAGCGAGCACAGTGGCACCCTTCAAGATGGCATCTGACAACTCCCAGGCAACCCTATAGCTTTCAGACCCCTAGACTGAAGGGAACAGTGGTCCAGACAGCTGACATCAGCCTACTGATGGATTTAAATACCTGTGATCACCTTAGTGGAGAGGTCTTTGATCCCAGGAAGCTTTGGTTCTGCCTGTCTGATGAGGAGGTTGGAGAAATCTGGTTTTTAAAAAGTATAGAGTGAGCCAGGTAGAGCCCAGCAACTGGGATCATCTCAGGGCTAGGAGGTAGGGTTCTGTCTTCCAGGGAGACTACTCCCCTTACTTATGGCAGCACCTCCAAGTCTATCCACAGTGGAGAAGGGGAGCTGGGTCTAGATTTGGGAAAACCATATTCCATAATTGGAGGGAAACCCAGGGCAATTAGAGCAGCACTAAGCAAGGACACTCCTGAGATACAGGAGACTCCTGCAGATAAAGCTGCAGCTGGGGCAGGTACTATCGGGGGTGATCCCACCCACACTGAGGCCTCAGGCCACTTCCCTCACCTCTTCCGATTTTGCTCTATATACAAGTGCTTTTTGTGAGCTGGGACAGAAAACACAAAAACCACCGGGGGCTCTTCTGGGTGCTGTAAGGTGAGCTGACCCCTGCCAGCTTCTGCAGCTCTGGGGTGAGGGCACCTGCAGCCTTACACATTAACTCAAACCAGAGCTGTGCTCTGAAAGCAGCTCTGCTGTGCCAAACCCAGGATTGGGGGTGTGCCTTCTGCCAGGAGGCAACTGGGTGCATGTCCAGGGCAGCCCCTCCAGGTGTCTTTGTGAGGGACTCACCTGATGGCACAAGCCATCAGACTTCAAGCTGAACCTTCCATACTTGTTTCAAAGTCACATTTGTCTTTGTGAATTAGGCAAAACTGTCTTTTGAGAATAAGCTAAGGCAACTATAAATTAAACTGATGTGACTTGGCCTTAAAGTTCCTTGCATAAAATTCTATTCTGTCCCTTCTCCCCTCCCAATTTAGGATAAATGATCCCATAGCAGCCAGTAAGAAGAGGTGGTAGGCATGAGAACTGGGGCAGGGAGTTCCAGGCAGAGCAATACTGTTGTCCAAGTTCAGAAAACACCACTCCAGCCCGTCACAGTACAGGGATTCACCCTTTTATTGATGGAGAAGGCCTGCCAAGGGTGGGCCTTTCCTTCAGGCTACTGTGATCATCAGTTCTTTATGGACTGCAGGGCCCTGTCACCAGTCAGGTGTTGGAAGTGTGAATGAGGGTTCTCCCACCCAAGAATGTGCAGGTACCCACCACATGTTCCACTGCCTGGCTTAATTCTCTCAAGGAGCCCACACCTCTCCTCCCGAGACAAAGACCACAGTTTCCAAGTCACAATAATTCATTATTCCCTTCTTTAGGCAGCCAGACTTGTGCTTGAGAGACCAAATGGTGTTAGCCAGGAGGCAGAGGAGTCTGGCTTTGTGATGTGATCACTGTATCCAATTTAGAACATCTCGCCTTTCAAGGTAGACAAAATCAACCAGTGGGTCCCATTTTGCCTTCATAAAAAGAGTCTGTATAATGAGTAGGTAGCAGACAGTATATTTAGTGCCCTTTCAACACCCTTGAACCATCAACATGGAGCCTTGGGCTCACAATTGCCAGCTCCCTTCCCACCCCCACACTGGTCCCTCTGTTTCTCCTGCAAATTAGCCAGGGCTCATCTGAGGGCAAAGCTGTAGACGTGGTAAATTTCGTCAGGGAGGTTTTCCTGCCTCTCCTCGGCAAGGAGATTGAGGCCTGCACTGCGGATGATCCTGCGGACCACTTCGAGGTCCCGGCACACGCTGCTGTCCACATCATCCAGGATAACACCCTCTTGGGCCATGTTGTCTTTGATGACGACGATGCCATTGGGACGAAGGCCCTGCTTGCAGCGCCGCAGGAACTCAGCCAGGTGCTGATCGGTCAGGTGGCCTGAGGGAGGGAGAGGTCCTGGTTACTAGAGAAGTGAGGCAACCAAGTGATCTCGTGGAAGTACGCGCCAGTGAGCATGCTAGTCACTACCTGTAAGTACTTCATCTGTGGCTGGCATTCTGTTATGTGCTGAAGGACCTGACTCTCACCGCAGCACTGAGGAGCTTTATTGTTGTTATGTGCTGTCGAGTCGTTTGCGACTCATAGTGACCCTATGTACAACAGCCCTAAACCCTGCTCTATCCTGCGCCAATCGCATTGCCTCTGACACATCCATCCCGATTACCCCAGTCACTTAATCAATCCACCTCATGGAGGGTCTTTCCCTCCTGTGCTGTCCCTCTCCAAAGACCTGTCTCTCCTTGTAACATGTCCAAAGTATGTCAGACGAAGCCCCAGAATCCTTGCCTCCAAGGAGTAGCCTGGTTTAACCCTCTCTAGGATGAATCTTTGTTTTCTTGGCAGTCCATGGTACATTCAATACTGTTCTCCAGCACCAAAGCTCAAAGGCGTCAATTCTCCTTCTGTGCTCCCTAGTCATTGTCCAGCTCTCTGATGCATAACAAGTGATTGCAAAGACCATGGCCTGTATCAGGCACACCTTCGACTCCAAAGAGACACTGTTGCTCTTGAGTACTTTAGAGAGGTCCCTAACAACAGACTTTCCCATTAGATTCCATTTTATGTGAGGAAACAAGCTGAGAAGTAACCTACCCAAGGGCACAAGGGAATGAGGCTAAGATCAAACCACACCCTACCCTTGACCTACACACTGGGTCACACATCTGAGTGTACCTGGCCTCAGGCTCTGGCATCGTAGGGGATTCCAAACAGATTGCATTCCCTACATTCAAGGACCACAAGATACTGGCCCAGAGTGTTCCCAGCCAAGTCATGCTGCCAGCCTTGAGGGTGTGACTGCTGGCACAGTGGCCTGCTGCCAGATGCTGCTAAGACAAGCAGATCTCTCACCGCTGTCAAACTGGAATTGACTCATTAGTTTGAGGCTCTAACTCACACTGGAGGAGATTCCCCATCTTTCTCCTACAGAGCTACTGATGGGTCTGAACCATCAGAGGCATGGCCTTTAGGTCGGCAGCAGAACCCCCTTTGGACAGTCACCAAAGAAGGCAGATTGAGGACAGGATATAAAAGCAGGCTTGCTCACTAGGACGTGAACAGCTAACATTTAAGTTATTTTTTAAAAAAACTCATCTATACTCATTTTCACCTATGAATGTACTAACTGACCATTTATCTTTTTAACAAAAACTGCCCCCAAATCTACTGCAGTGGGTGCTGATTTCAAACAAAACGCTGAAGGAGATTCTGAGGCGACTCCAAGTCTTGAGAACAGTCCTGAGGAGACAGGAAGAGTCCTTGGCAGCCAGGGCCCTGTGGGGGATCCCAGGGGCAGGGGACATACAGAAGGCACACAAGGAAGCAGAACGCTCACCTATCACCCACTGGATCCAGATGACGTCGTAAGAGTTGGGCTCTGGACTGAAGTCTTGAAGACCACAACAAAAGTAGTTCCTCACCCGCTTGCCCTCTTCACCTAGGTAGGTCTTTGCTTTAACCAGAAAATCCTCCGTCACATCAACCATATCCACCACTTTGAACAATGGCAAGAGCAGCCGCTTGGTGATCCTTCCAATGCCAGCTCCACAGTCCAGGGCATAGGAATTTCCCGTCTTGTTTGGGCCTTCCTAAAAAGCACAGGAAGGTTTAATCTGTAAAGAAGGGTAGGAGTGCTAGAGACTCTATCATTGCAAAGAAGCAGTTCTCTGTTAGCCCCGAGATTCTGATCAGGGCTCAGTATACACACTATTAGCCAGGGCTGGTGATGGGAGCACACCACGGGCAGCACAGGGCATTTTTCTTTACCTGGGCATAATAAAGTGAAAGCTGGCATCCATTTAAAGGTGAGTGTGTGTGTGTAATAATCTCTCCTGTTACATACCTTTGGAAATGACTCATAGCTGACCCTCCGCTGGATTTTTAGAGGCTGTAAATAGCATGGGAAGAGACTGCCCATATGTCTACCAAAGGAGCAGATAGTGAATTTAAAACACCTACTTTTGGGCTGCCAGCACAACTCCTTATGCCCTAAGCCAAAATAGCTTCCCTCTTTAGAAGACATTAAAATGACAGCAAAGGGTGGAGGGAGAAGCTAAATAGTGAGAATGAATGGAGATGGGGAAAAAAAATAAGAGAACAGGAGTTCAACAACTTTTGGAAGATGTACCATGGCTGGAGGGCCACTGGATTGAGTAGGGAAACAAGTAGTCTCCAGGATTTGTCAGCAAAGGGGAGAGGGGAGCAAGACCAGAGGAGGCTCTAGCCAGAGAGATCCCAGCACGGAGACAGTAGGGAGTGTGGAGGTGAAAAACAGTGGGCTAAAACCAGAGTAGTAGGAATCTGCATGCAGAATGGCCAATGCCCACAAACACAGCCAAAGAGTCAAAGTAAACAGTCCTCTACATTTCACACTAGGACTCTTCAACCAACAGACACCTTCTGGCAACCTTTAACTCTACAGCCCAGAAATGTCACCCCTACACACAGGCCTTGGTGTTTAAAACAGGTAACTGAAGACCCTGTGGTGCTATGTGTGGCACCCTGTGCGGACTGACAGAGCCACAGCCTCTCCTCCTGGAGAGCACACCAGACCTGCCTACCCTCAAAAACCTCTGCAGGAACTTCCGGGAGCTGTTGATGTCGATGCTGGAGATGTGGCCATACCCCCCGAGCATGCCGTCCACTGTGGGTGGGATTTCTTTCCAGTAGGTCTTGGCCTTTGAGTAGAACTGTTTCTCATCTTCTATCACCTCACTGGTCATGTTGTCACTAATCACGCTTCTTCTCAAGTGCTCAGTAATTGCCCCTCCTGTGCAAGAAAAAGAGGAGAAAATCAGTCAAGTGGCAGAAAGGCTCCCTTGAGTTGAGGGCCTGTCTCAGCCCATGCGCAGCTAGTCAGACAACCAGCCTGGTGTAGATGACCAGTCAGTTATCTCAAATCTGCTCCTATGCACTGGAAGATTACCTTCAGTCTCTTGTATGTAAGTCATTCTGTAAAACTGCCTTCATATTAAAGCAGGACACTAACAGTACTGCCTTCCAGTTCTTCAGGACACCTGACTCAATGGTCTCTGACTCTAAGGGATCAATTATCCCAATCTACACTGTGAAGAGAGGACAGCAAAGCAAGGAACTCATTCCAGCTGCTCCTGGGAGGGGCGTGGGGCATCCCCATGTCCTCCTTTCTCCTCTCAGTTACAAGCAGAGAAACAAGCTCACTGTGGAGACCATCCTTTTACCAACAGTAACTTTGCCAGGTACTGTGGACCAGGGATATAGCTGGACAGTAAGAATTCTATGTGGGCACACTGAATTCCATTGGTGGTGATGGCTGTGAAAAAGAAATAACAAGTATACACCAGAGGAACACAAGTTGGCAGCAGCGAAGGCATCCCAACGAAAGTGATACTGAAGCTGGAAATAAAAAGAAGGAATTGACTAAGTAAACAGGAAGAATACTGTTCTAGGAAGCAAAGAGCATTTGAAAGGGGAAACTCAAGTTTGTAGTTGGACTTGACCCTAAAGAGTATGGATTGGCTTGAATTACTCTAAACTTAAGCAGACTCAAGGAAATTTGTGTTTTTGGAAGGCTGTGTTGGCAGTTATGCAGGCAAAAAGTGCAAGCAGATACAGGTGAGGAGACCAGTACCATGAAGATGGGGAGGGTATTACAAAAGAACAGCGTGAAGGGCCACCACAGTGTCCAAGAGAGTGAGGCCACTTAGCAAAATCATGCCAGGCAGGGGGCAAGGGTTGAAAAATCTCTACGTGAGGTACTGGCACTAGTCCCAACACTCACCATGCATAAGGTGCTGTTCTTCTAGTTGCTATGAGGGTGCGCACCACCACACAGGTCAGCTCCAACTCACAATGACCCTGCAGGACAAGGAGAACGGCGCCATAGGGTTTCCGGGGCCGAACGTCTTTAAAGAAGCAGATGTCACATCTTTCTCCCATGGAATAGCTCATGGCTTTGAACCACCACCATTTTGGTTAGCATCTGGCTCCTAACCAGAGTACTGTGCTATAAGGTAAAGTTGTTGTTGTTGTTGTTATGTGCCATCGAGTCGTTTCCGACTCATAGCGACCCTATGCACAACAGCTCTAAACCCTGCGCTATCCTGCGCCAACCGCACCACCTCTGACACACCCATCCCGATTACCCCAGTCACCGAATCAATCCATCTCATAGAGGGTCTTCCCCTCCTGCGCTGTCCCTCCACCCTCCCAAGCATGATGTTCCTCTCCAAGGACCCGTCCCTCCTGGCAACATGTCCAAAGTATGTCAGACGAAGCCCCAGAATCCTTGCCTCCAAAGAGCAGCTTGGTTTAATCCTCTCCAAGATGGATCTGTTTCTTTTCCTGGCAGTCCAGGGTACATTCAGTACCCTTCTCCAGCACCACAGCTCAAAAGCATCCACTCTCCTTCTGTCCTCCCTAGTCATTGTCCAACTCTCTGATGCATAACAAGCGATTGCAAATACCATGACCTGTATCAGGCGCACCTTAGTCTCCAGAGAGACACTGTTGCTCCTGAGTACGTTTGAGAGGTCCCGAACGGCAGACTTTCCCATCGCGATACGCTTTTTGATTTCCTGACTGCTGGTACCAAGAGTGTTAACTGTGGAGCCGAGCAAAGTGAAGCTGTGAACACTCTCAATCTCTTCATCATCCATCCTGACGCTGCCAATTGGTCCAGTGGCGAGAATCTTTGTCTTCTTGACGTTGAGCCTTAGTCCATACTGAAGGCTGCAGTCCTTGACCCTTCGCAGCAAGTGCATGAGGTCCTCCTCAGTTTCAGCAAGCAAGGTTGTGTCATCTGCATAACGGAGATTGTTGATAGATCTTCCACCAATCCTGATGCCACAATTCTCCTCATAGAGCCCAGCCTCCCGGATAAAGTACCAAGATAAAACATCATCTTTTGGAAAGCTTGTTGTTGTTATGTGCCATTGAGCCCCTTGAGACTTACAGCATCCCTATGTACAACAGCTCTGAACCCTGCTCTATCCTGAGCCAACCTCACTGTCTATCACACACCTACCCTCAGTGCCCCAGTCAGTAAGTCAATCCATCTCATCTAGAGTGTTCCTCTCATCTAGAGCTGTCCCTCCACCCTCCCAAGCATGATGTCCAAAGGATGGGTCCCTCCTTGCAACATGCCCAAAGTATGTCAGACAAAGCTTCAGAATCTCTGCCTACAAGCAGCAGCTTGGTTTCACCTTCTCCAGGTCAAACCTGTTTTTTTCTCCTGGCAGTCCACAGTATATTCAATACTCTTCTCCTGCACCGCAGCTCAAAGGCATGCTCAAAGGCATCAATTCTCCTTTTATCATCCATAGTCACTGTCCAGCATTCTGATGCTGTACAGTACAGGAAAAAATATGGTTCCAACTAAATCAAGAAGCGTGTGGGTCAAGCAGTATCCTATCAATCTGTATGCTGAGCAAATTATTCAAGCTGGACTCCATGAAAAAAAAATGTGGCATCAGGATAAGAAGACTCATCAACAATCTGTGTTATATGCAGATCACAAAACCTTGCTTGCTTAAAGTGAGGACGACTTGAAACACTTGCAGCAAAAGATTGAACACTACACCCGTCAAAGATCACATCTCAACATCAAAAGATAAAAATCTTCAACACTGGGCCAACAGACAACATCATGATAGATGGAAAAAAGCCTGAAATAATCAATGACCTCTTCTTATGTGGATCCAAGATCAACACCCTTGGCACTAGCAGTCAAGAAATCAAGATGTATTGATTGCTCTGGGAGTCTTCTATCAAGGACCTTTCCAAAGTACTGAGGAGCAGTGATGTCAATCTGAAGACTAAAGGGCAGCTGATTCAAGCCATGGTTTTTTCAATCTCTGGCTATGTGTCTGAGACCTGCACAACGAATGACAGAAAATCATCTATGTCTTTGAGCTGTGGTGATGGAGGAGTACTGAATATGCCTTGGACTGCCAAAACAAAAGCACAAACAAAGAGGTGTGTCTTAGCGAAGGTGTGGCCAAAATGCTCCTTGGAGGAAAGGATGGTAAAGCTTTGTTTCACATACTTTGGGAATGTTGTTAGGAGGGAATCCTTGGAAAAGGACATCATGTTTGAAAGACGGAGGGTCAATGAAAGAAAAGAAGACCTCCAGGTGGACTAACAGTGATTGCAGCAACGGGCTCAAGTGTGTCAGAGAGGATGAGGATGGCATAGGATAGGACAGAGTTCATATCTGTTGTTCATAGGGTTGCTATGAATTGTACTTGATAGCACCTAACAACAACACATAAGAAGCAGAAAAACAGGACTCTGAATGAGGAAGTGGCTTCAGATCACAAGCAGAGGCAATATATGATGACAGTGCATGACAGGTGATGAGCTGGGCCAGCTGACATGGACAGAGGATCCACGACTTCTAGTCCTTATCAGGCCTAGATCACCGGAGTCCTGAGTACACATTAGGGACTTGTCAACAGAGAAACCAACTCACTAAGCATTATGGGGGACTGAGCGAGTATGCTTGACCCTAATATGAGGCAAAGTAACAGTGAAACAAGCAGCCCCAGGAGTAATAGCAGCCACAGCCAAAGCTATGAGCTGCTAGACAAATGTCAAGTGTTTTCCATTTATCACTAAATCATCCTCACATTATTTTATGAGCAAGGTACAATCACACCCACTTTGTAGAGAAGGGATCTGATGCACACTGAAGAAGGAAATATAACCAATGTTCACTCGTCATGTTTGTTACTAGCACCCAATGCACAGCTTATCTGCACTTGTCCTGAAAGAGAAGATGCCCTCCGGAAGCAGCAGGCCCACTTAACCAAACAGCTCAAAATGCTCTGGGCTGTAACAAACCAAGATGGGACGAAATTCAGCTTCTGTCATAAGCCATCCCTCTCCAGAGAACCAAGCCAGTCAATGGGGACAGCAGGAAGTGCCTGCCACGGCAGTTGACAGATGTTGAAGGGGCCTCTCCATCCCTGGACCTGGCTCTTTCAACAAATTAGGGTCCTCTTCAACAGTGTCACACACTGGGCTCTGAGGGACCAGATAACAACTTCCATGTGCTCCACCAGGGCCCAGTCCTCCTTAGATCTGTGACTTAGACACTGTTTTCACCTACAACAAAACCCTGTGACTGTACCCTCAGAGAACCCTGCTCGAATCCTTCTTCAGACTCCTAAATCTACTCCAACTGATGCCCACACTTCACTGTACAGGTGTGGGGCCGTGATGACAGGCTGCTGTACTTGCACTAAATCAGGCAGTCTGGGGTAGGAAGCTGAGGGAAACCTTGGTGCTAAGCACTGCTCTGCAGCACAAAGCTGACACAAGCGTGCTGGTTATGGTAGACTGACATCACTGTGTACCCGAGGGGGATGATAAGAAAGGGGGCTACCAGTCTGAATGCTTCATGTAGCTGAGTGTGGGGGTCACTTGCATGGCTGGAGTTTGAAGGGGTTACGAACATGGGCTAAGTGGGCTGTCCACCCACGACCAACAGGTACCACAGGAATCATGTCAAGCCCCTTCAGATCCCCAATCATCCAGCTAGGACAACATGCGAACAGCCCTGCACAGCAGGAATGCTCCACTTCAGCCCACAGTGTTAAGAGGCTAAGCCCTCTCCCCCTCTCACCGCTATCACCTTAACAGACGTCTGGCTTTGAACTATTTTCTATTTTCCTGCAACCACTGTGGAAGGCAGTATGGCGCTTTCTCAAAAAGTTGCAAACAGAAATACCATTTGACCCAGCAATTCCTCCACTGGGAATATA